GTTGGACTGCCTGTTTAACGTGTGTTTAGTGCAGGTATCTTTGGGTTAGTGGCTGATTATAATGCGGGGCAGTGAACGCCGCAAGGAAACTTTCTCATGGATACCGCATTACCTTTGCACAACAGTCAGCTGTTTGTGATGGCGTGTTGGTGACAAAGTGTAGGCCCCTTGACCCTGAATGTTTGCTTAGCACAATAAGGTTTTCCGGTAAGTCCCCCTTCTCTCTCTCTTAGTGTACTTCGACCCGTCGGTCGTTATAGTTGTATGGCAGCGAAGCAGCAGTTCAACTGACTGATGTACAGCTGTTGATGATGCTGCTCTCACCTGTAATTCACCCCTGGATGTTAATCAATGTTCTGATTGTTTACACGAAACGATGTTTTCCTCTAGTCAATCGCTCTTTGGTATCACCCAACATCCTTTGAAAAGTTGGATCTCCGCTTCCTCGCTGGAACTGCTTGGCCGCCGTCGAAATGTGGCACCAGAGTTAGGTCATAATTCTATGCGTCAGACTCTTAGAGGACAATTCAAACAAAACTTGCTTAATGACCGCGAGACTTGGTGGTCCAAACGCGCCCCAGAGATGGAAACCACCGCTCTCTCCGGCATTTTCCACAAGCTCTTCCAGTTAATTCGGTTCACAGGCCCCAGAATGTCTGGGACAGCAAAAATATTTTTAAAGCGGATTGGTCCCGAATCACTAACCTGCGAAGACGCGTAGAGCGTTGGGCCGAACCTTTTCACTCCAATTCAACCACCGTCCATTGCCCGCTTGTATGGAAAGTACATCCAATTGCATGCCTTGGGTCATTTGATTGGAGCCAACCAACGAAGCGGTTTTGTTGATATTCGATACATCAAGAGATTCAAGTCTCCCGGTTCGGACAAACTTCCTCCAGATATGTTAAAGTTTGGTGGCCAGCACGTGTCAAGCAGTTAACATCGCTGTTTACAAGACATGGCACGAGGAGAAGATTCCATTCTCTTGAGATGAGTTAGTAATCGATGTCGATGGAGTACAACCCAACGGTGCTTGCCGCTTCCGAAATTGCCGCTTCTTCTCTGCATGTATGAGGTCATTCTCTCGCACTTCGGCAACTGCCTTTGTGATTAGATCGCGCAATGCGCGCCGATCAACCGCCTTCCATTCCCATGATCTGCAATCACGAGTAGAACGTAACAAGCTCACTTTAATCATGTCATAGTAACGTAACTTCGGTTTCCCCACGTGCCGTTTCCCAATATTCTGCAGACCACATAATAGTTGTACCTTTATCCGCGACGAATCCACACAGCTCATATGACCGAGCCACATCAGGTGTCTCAATAAAAATATGCAGTCAACTATATACATCCCACTTCGGCGCAACACTTCGGTCTGCAACTCTGTTGCCCCAGCCGTTGCACAAAATTCGTCGCAGACACTGCTGACGGAACCGCTCGAGATATCGCACATCCCGCCGGTTCATCGTCCACGTTTCAATGTCGTATAGAAGAACGGACACCACCATGGCTTTGTGCACCATCAGCTCCGTGCCAATGCTAAGCTGATGGTTGTTCCACACTCGGTACTCAAACTTCCCGAATGCAGCCGCTGCCTTCAATACGAGCATACGAAGCTCACTGTGTTTCTGCTGATCAGTCGATATCACACTCCCAAGGTAGCAAAAGCGGGAGGTGGTTCCCAACACTTCAACACCAATGCTGATTCGCGGCAATATTGAAGATTGCACCTCCGGTGAAAGCAGAAAGAGACAGACAGCTTTGCCTGTGTTGTTGATGAGCCTGAATTTGGACGCTGTCGAAGCCAGAGCACTAGTCATGTGCTGCAACTCATCCGCGCTGTGTGAAAACAACGCACAGTAATCAGCAGACAGCAACATACGGATAGTTGTCTCACAGACTAGAGTTCTCGCACCGAAATGACGGATGTTCAGCAGCCGATCACCAGTAAGGTTCTCCACACGAACACCGTAAGCACAAGCCGCATCAAAAGCACAAGACATCATGGCATGAGGATATATAATGAATATGGCAGGAGCTAAGACACAGCCTTGCTTCACACCAGTGACAACTGTAAAGTCATCTGAATTTTCTCCACTCAGCTGTACATTCGCCCGCATACCACTGTGCAGAGACTCAATTAACCTTAGAAAACTATGCGTGCAACCAAACTCACCCAACACCAACCACAATGCCTCGCGGTTCACTGTAACAAATGTCTTGGTGAAATCAACAAAAAGCAAATAAAATGGTTGGTGTCTTTCTCTGCACTTCTCTTGCAACTGACGAGCCGAAAACACCATATCTATAGTGCTGCGACCCGAACGGAATCCACACTGCTCTTCCGCCACGTTCGGTTCCACAACCTGACTGACGAGGAGGTTGAGCAGGATTCGGGCAATCACCTTGCCCACACAACTCAGTAAGTTGATGCCATGATAATTCGTGACATATTGCTTGCTTCCTTTTCCCTTGTACAGTGGTAGCACAAGGGTATCCTTCAGCTCAGGAAGCACCTCCTCCTCAGCTCATACGCGTTGCATCAAGTGGTGCAGCGCAGTCACCAACGCGGGTTCGTCGTGTTTCAATACTTCAGGCGGGATCCCATCGGCTCCGGCACACTTGCCGTTTCACAGCTGAGCATGTGTTCTCTGCGTCTCATCCATATATATATATATATATATATATATATATATCGTGTCCAATGCTAAGGCTGAAGTTGCATTTATGATGCTTCTTTACCGCAGTTAGGTTAAACCAAATTACACGCAAACTAGGTGTTTTTAAGCTGGATACATTTCATTCCACTTTAGTTGCTTTGTTCTGCATACCTGAATAATGTTTGTTTAACTGTCCTCCTCGCTTAAGCTAATTGTGGTTACCTTCGTTATCTTTGTTGCGTATGTACCATTTTCTGAGTAACTTCTGGACATTTTGTACTTCTCGCGGATTGGTTGCGAAGCAACTTACTTCATAAGCTAATTTAGGGAAGAGTTGTTATAATGCCGTTTAAAGGGAAGGGGTATTGTTTAACATCACCGGTGTGGCTGCGCTTGATGTGCATGTTGACAAGGTGCCTACCTCTCTATTACCCACTACCTCGTCCATACTGCCTCCAGGAGACAGTTGGACGTTGCTGGAGGGGACGGGGTGCACCGTCCTTGTGGTCGTACTAGGCTCGAAGAGTGGTTTCATGCACTCAGTGTGGAGCGGACTACGGTCCAGCCAGCGCTTTGTGTTCACCTGATTCCCCAAATACAGTGTGCTTGTGTTTGCCTGTGAAGCCGTGTAGTCAGGCACCGTTGATGAAACGTGGCTCCCATCCACATGTCTCCCGGTCATATTCCTTCGGGTTTATACTTCATATGGGGTGTGATTGGAGCTGTGGGTGGTGCAGCGCAAGCCACCCATGGTCCCTCTGTAGGCGCAGGAGTCCTGTGGCTGGCCACAGTGACAGGAATATCGGAAACCGGATGCCGCCAAACATGTATATTCACATTCCGCTTACAGATAATGTGCCGTCAGAACCCTGGGGAAATATAGGAGAGAAACTAAGTACAACCTGAGAAGAATACGATTTTTTCAATTTTACGTACGGGTTTTTCGAGCTTGTTGTGTTTTGGAGTCTTGTATTTCATGAGACGTTAACTAAAATATATAACGCGGTTGAAAAGAACTGTCATTACTGATGCTTGATTTGCGCGCCGTAGCCTCCTACGTTTCTAACCACTGACAGTCTTAGGCGCGTGGCCCCTATACTGGAGGTATCAATGGAGAGCTTGTCCAATAAGTTGACTGTAACAATGATAATTTACCACTCGGAAAGATGTCGAAATGCGACAATCGTCAATATTGATTGACGCTGTGCACGGAAAAATGTCAGTATGGCTGCAATAATCACTACAGAATGTGCAAGTCCAGCCAATCGTTTAATTTATTAGCTCAAAAATGCCCATCAGGAATTCCATCAGAGGATACGGTATTCTCAGCATAGGAACAAAAGAGGAAACAGCACATCCTCCAGTGCCAGCCCGTAGTCTTAAGGATCACAGCGTGTCTTGTACTTTGAGGACGCGGGTTTGAGCATGCGCAAGGACCGGGCAACCCTTTCCCTCTCCTTAGCCCACGTGTGATCGGTGGTGGTTGCGAGGGAGCGAAGCGTACCGGCGTACATCCTCAAGTGTATAGACACCATGCAGAGAAATTCCGAGCGCGTTGAGCTGCTTCACGACTGATACTAGCACTGCAGTTAAACAAACGAATGCAACAACAAGCACTGCGCCTGCACAATAGTATTACGGATTTAGAGCCAAAACATCACTTGCCTAATTGATTCCCATGATTTAGTGCAGAAAATGTGGTCACTGATTCACTCGATAACGTATCCATGATCAGGCCTATTTGAAAGCGGCAACCTATAGGGGGGGTGTTTTGAGGAACGCCAATACTTACCTAGGTGCAGCGCGCAAAACTATGCATGGTGAAACTGGACAGAGGCGATATTTTTTGATATAGCCAAGCTGGTTAACTAAAACACCGACATGATAATCGAGAGCTTTTTAGCATCGACGATTAGCGTGTGTGTGTCAATGTGTGCGTGAATAGTGACGCGTAATCTCGCCCTAGAAAATGATTAGGTCCAAAGACAACCCCAGTCAATTTGAGTAACCCGGACCGTAGCTGAATTAGACAGCTTTTCGGTGTTGGTCAATTTAAACTCCTCATTCCAAAAGCTGCTTAAGCACTACTACTTCCATTCCTCACGTGAACATAGTCGGGTTACCAATTGAACCCATGGTGAGGAGACAACGAACAGCCATCGATAGCAGCGGATAGCGATTGGCAGAGTCGCATTGTATGTTTCTTTGGCTGTGCGTTATACGTACAGACTGCTCCACACAATCCTCACGTTGCAGAATCCTGCGTATTTATCCGCTTGGCGTAGTGGTTCATGATGATCGATGCTACCGTGCCAGTTGCTTGAAGCACGGCCCAAGCCGAACGAGAAATATACATTATTCCACATGACATTAGGCAGAAGGTCATAAATAATAAAAAAGGTAGAATGACAGAAACAAATCCGTGGGGAGGCACAAGAACACATGAAAGATCATTATCAAAGGTTAAACAGAAATGCTCGCAACGGGTCCGCTGGAAGCATGGACACATGTGCCGTAACCGGATGCCTTATGATTTCCCGGATAATGCGAATAGCATTCACAAAATCATGCAAACGAATCCATCGCGAAAGTGCGCCGGGATTATGATCTGATGGGGGCATATTTAGCGTAGTGCAAGACTCAGCTTGTCGTAAGATCTGTACTGCATCGTCAGCGGTTTGCTCGAAGCAGTGAAGCAAGGCTGCATTCACGAGTTCATCGATCGATTTCAATTTATCACACTTGGCTAAATCCTGCAAACCGGGTACCTCCTCACAACGGACTTCGTCCGATGAGACTATCGAAGGCCATCGGGTTAAGAGGATGTATTTCAAGATGAGGAAAAATTCGAAGAAGTCGATTCCAGCCAGAGCACGAAGACATATCTGAAACAGAATAGATGACGCAGAGGTGTTCATGGACCCATAGTGCAATACAAAATCCCAATATGAAATGGTGTTCAGTACGTCTGTTGAACGAATATGATATGAACATTGAGGCATGATAAATCGAATTATCCCTTTTCGCATCGAACTGAATAAAGGTGTAAAAACAGTGGGGGAAAGGTTGAAGCGATAGTGGAAAAATGTGTGCAAGCAATGCGACGGTAGCGGATTCATGTTGGGCGAATAAAATGGAAAGATGTGACACTAACTTCAACTACTCCTGTAGCTAAAACCTCAGACCAGAGTGTGGTCTACATAAAGAAGGAAAAGAGTACAGTTGTGTCGCCAGCGGACTGTTCACGCCCCCACGACCGTAAGGTGAACACGAAAGCAGGACCGAGTAATCTGCTCATCTAAATGGGGTACAGCAGTAGCTGAAGCCAGGCTATTAAAACATGTTGGAGCCAACCAACAACGTATGAGACACTGAATAATGCAGGCGAATGATAAGTGGTAAACGTAAGAACCAATCAGGCGAGTTCGAGGAAATGGCATTGGCAGAAACGGACCCCGGAGATGGCATCCATTTCGAACGACGTGGGTCGACCAATCAAAGCAAAGAAATGACGCGTTAAAACAAATGCCAATAAAACAACGGTAACAAAACACAAGCAGAGAACTAAGGATTGTAACAAAAACTATATGTCCACTTCTCAACCTAACACCTCCCTCTTCTTTACAGTTAGTTACCTGAAGGGGTTCACTGGGAATGGTTGAACAAATCGGCTTTTCCTTTTTGGCTTCCCCGATGTTCCATATCCCGGATTTTTCAAAGGTTGTGTGCATTGTCCGGCGAAATCCATCGGTTTGCCATTGTCCAGTATTTCAGTAAAATCAAGTCCGTTGGTGTAAGATGTCCCTGTGTTCTCCGTGTAGCGCGGCCTCATTTGATTGGCATGGCGGATCCACACCTGCGTACTGACAAGAATCTCATACATCACGTAACCAGGGCACCGTACGACGGACTCCAGGTATCCATTTGATCGTGTTCTTCTGCTGAGCGACGACAAAAACCTGGGCTTCGACTTCAAAATCACCATGCCGTGCTCCATGCCGCCTGTTGTACTGGATTTCCATTACGGGATTCGTAGGACACGTCGGTTGGCGTTTGGGGCTCAGTAAGTCCAAAGTTGCTCTTATTCTTCGGTCCATAAGCGTTTCCACAGGTGACTACCCATCTGGTGCATTTGGCTACGGAGCAAATCGATAATTCGGTAAGAATGTCTCTAGCCTTTACTTTAGTGACTCTTCCCCCTTCGATCGCAACAGCGCTCGTTTCATGGTATCCACAAATCGATCGACCTGTCCATTAGATTGTGGGTGTTATGGTGCAATCCTCAGGTGCGTGCACAAAATTCAGCAAACTGATGAGACGTGAAATGGGACCCCTTTATACTACACAAAGGTTTCCGGTAGGCCATGTCAGCTTAAAATGTGTATCAATGAGTATAGTGTACTGGTTGCTGACGTGTTCTACATCATGGTTACTTCCGGCCACTTGCTATAGGCATCGACATTTATAAGGAACGAAACGCCTTCAACCGGTCCCAAAAAATCTACATAACCATGGTCATTGTGGCGTGAGCCAAGACTGCAGTATTTTGCGTACAAGCAGCTTGTAAGCATATGCGCATTTTGAACAGGTACGACCAATGTCCTTTAGCTGGTTGTCAAATTTCAACCAAAATACATAGCTCTGAGCCAATACCTACATTTGAGCGATTCATGGATGACCTTTGTGGAGTTCTCTTGAGACGCGTTTTCGCAGGACTTCAAGTGTGATGATGCGATCGGCGAGGAACAGCCAGGAGACAAATTCTGACAAAGAATCGCGCCGCGTGCAAAACTGGACGTTTTGGTGGACATTTCCTTGGCCAGCCATGTCTAATGTAGGTCAGGACTTCTTGTAGCAGCGGATCACATCTTGTGGCTTCCTGAACCATCTTGGCACTGACCGGTAAGGTATTGAAGGCATCATGCACCATATAATTGACAAATGTTTCAGTTTTAATTGCGACAATTACTGCGTTGTCGGGTTCGCGCCTGCCTATCGATTAGTCTTGATAAACCGTCCGCTTGCCCGACTGAATCAGTTGACAAATATTTTGTAGTGAAATCATAAACCAAGAGCAAGGTTGCTCATCGCTATAATCGACTGGCAGTGTATGCCGGGATACCTTTCTTTGACCCAAATATTGCGAGAAGCGGCTTGTGGCCAGTTAGCAGTGTGAAGAGTCGTCCGTACAGCATTTTGTGAAACTTCTGAACAGCGAAGACGATAGTCAATGCTTCCTTTTCAATCTGACTATAGTTCTTCTCAGATGCAGTAAGAGCACGTGCAGCGCGTGGGACAGCTTTGTCGGAAAATGGTGGAAAAGACTTCCCTAATTCCACAGCTGGAAGCATTTGTGGCCACGACAATTTTCAACCTCCGGTCCTAGTCATTAAGCAGTAGATCCGATGTTAATAGCGACTTCAACTTTTCGAATGATTGCTGGCACTTTTTGGACCACTTCCATTCAGTATCCTTCAACAGCAAATGATCCAATGGATGACGCATGCAATGCATATGCGGCAAAAATTCACTGTAGTGGCTCACCATTCCCAAGAATAATCTCAAGGTTGTGATATCCGTTGGTGCAGGTAGCCGATCTATAACCTTATTATTATTTGGATCTGGTCTTCAACCGGGCTGATCAGTCACAAAGCACAAGAACTTGATTGACCTCTTCAAAAATTTGCAATTATCTGTGCACAAACGGAAACCGTAATGTTTGATTCTCAGCATCACCTTATCCAGTCGCTGAAGCAGTTAATCTTGTTCCCGGACCATTATGATAATGTCATTTAGATAAGCTGCGGTCCCAAGTACGACGATCAGGATGGTGTCTATAACCAGCTGAAGGATTGCAGGTGTTGTGTTGACGCCAAACGGTTGTATTAACAGACCCCGCGATGGGTGTTTATCGTAAGAAGCTTTCTGCTTCATGGCTCAACTTCAAGGTGTAAATAAGTATCCGCAAAATCAAGGGTAGCAAAGTACTTTCCTCCATTCAGCTTCGCAAACACGTCCTCTGGGAGTAGAACTGGGTATTGATGAGGCTCCAACGCGGCATTTAACCCAATTGAGAAGTCGACACACAAGCGAATAGTACCGTTAGGTTTCTTGATCACAACAATGGGAGCAAGCTATGGCGAGAAACGGATTTGCTTGATCGCTTCAGTCTGCCGTAGACGTTCAAGTTCCTGTTCCACAAGTATTTGTGAAGCGAACGAGACTGGACGTCTGGGTAGAATTACTGATTCTTCGTCGGGAAAGAGAGTGAGCTTTCCCTACATTTTTGTGCAGGGTCCAAGCTAGGATCGGAAGGCGCAAGCGGATTTCGCGTAGAGATGTTCAGATAGGTTTCCACTGGGATGAGTAGGTATGGCAGTACGGCTGACCATGACGTTTGTTTCGGAACACACACGATTCAGTGGCTCGTCGAATAGATTTAGCTTCCAAGCAAATCCATTCCGAGTTAATTAAAATCGGTAGAAGAAGCTAGGTCGATGATGCCATGGACTTGAAACTTTTTGTACTTGAGCTCACAGTCAATTTCGCCGTCTAACGACAACGGTTCTCCTGATGCACTTTGAGCCATGAGAATTGTATGTTTGATTGGAGGTTCACCCAGCTTAGCAAATGTCGAGCAGGAAATGATAGTGATGTCGGACGCTGTACCTAGCTACAACGATACCGGAACATGGTTGAGTTTCATCGTCAGGTATTTAAAATGTTTCGCAATACCGGTAGCTCCGGTTGATGATTCAATTGTCCATTTGTTCTCCGAGCTTGGAGGTTCTGCTGCAAACGTTTCACCACCATGTGAGGTGGCATCCTCAGTGCAGTAAGATGCGGCGTGCAATCTTATTGAATGAATCGTTCATCCGTAATCGACCTGCAAGTGACTTTTGAAAGTGGCAGTCTCGATTTGCATCCCGTGACCTCTACCCACTTTCCTCACGACTGAAGTCGGCGCCCGAGTTGTTCCGCCTTAAACCGCGTGACAAAATGTTCTTTATTTCTTTTTCTCGAAGCGGTTGGTATATTGAATCGATGTCGACGCGCACATTGACTGCGTTTTTCGTTGAAAACCAAGTTTCCAGGAAGTCTCTTTCTTTTCTTGTGTCACCCCGTGCTAGGACTTCAGTTTTGCTCCAGTTGAAGCTATGTCCTTCTTCACTACGTGCAATGAAACTAACGACGATGCTTTACACAGGCTCTTCTGTGTTCTGGTATCCTTGTTGCCACTTTTCTTCGCGTCTGGCCAGACGGGTGTGTCCTCGGTGTGTCCTGTCATGTTTTCTTCTTGGTTTGTTCGTCTAACCCAGAGTTCAGAGGTCTTGCGTATCTTAGCTATCACCTATGCCTGATAATGCATGCGTATACCTCCTCGTGCCACGTTACATCTTATATACACCAACCTGCGGCATCAAAACTCCGAAGGGGCCCAAATAGCTTACACAGGGCAAAACAAAGACAGGTACTGACGGAAACGTAACAGCAAGCCCATTAATAAGGCAGCAATCCATATTGCACAAGAACGACGCGGCAATAAAGCACAATCTTGATTGGTGCGAGCACCATCTATACCACCACTCACGCAGACAGACAATAATGAGTCACGTTACCTTCCTAGGACGCACCATCTCTCCTGGCTTCCGCACGCGACACGTCGATGTCCAATTTCACGCTAGTATTCTCGCTTATACGCGTCCCAAGCTGATAGGCCTGCAGTCGTTCGATAGCTCGTGACTTGCTTGACCGTGGATGCATCACACTGCTTAGGGTCGGTCCGGGAGGCTGCAATAACAGCACTTCTGTCTGATTTATCGCATTCGCGAGGAACACCCACTCTATTCTGTCTGGTTCAGACTCACTAGCGGACGCCGCTCGC